TCATAATTAGCAACCTTGTTAAAACCGAAATATACTCTTACTTTAAGCATACAATTTAAAGAAGGCGCACTTTGCTATCAAGCAAGTACAAGAAATAATTTTTTTCGTGCATTCTTTTTTTTAAAAATATATTTGAACTTATAAAGACAGTCAAAATAATGATAAAAACACAAGCTATTCAAGTGGTTACATTTCCAGTACATATCTTTCGTTATGAGTGACGACGAAGCTCGTATAACGCCTACATCTTCTCATGACTCAAATAACTTCAGAATGTACTAAACGATAATTAATTCCACAAACTGATTCAATACCGATTAGCAAAATAGTATCAATCTTTCGCATATGTCGACATGCTGCGTGATCTTTGGCGACCACTGTATTTTGGGGGTACATTTGGACTACTCTGACACACGCATAAGGATGTAAACGACAATATTTTACATAAATAGTAGCTTCTTTTCATAGCTAGGGGTTTTTCACGGCTGGACGTGCTAGTCGTCGTAGTTAGCAACTGATTTATTTGGGTTTGTTTATTAGACCCCTTTGCAGAACACGGGAAGATGAACAGTGTTTGCTTAAGTCAAGAGAACGTATGGTAGGGAGGAATAATGGTATTACGAGTACGGTTACATTTAACATTAGGGCTAAGGTCTAAATTTTCTTTAGCGTTATTGTTAAAGTTGGGAGTCGGTGATCTTTTCCCTTCCTAGACATCAGCACAAGACTAACCATATTATGCTTTGAGGGCTTCCTGTTCTCCTCTCCGCTTCGAACCGATGGTTTAATAGTCCTTTTTGTGTGAGTACAGTGAGGATTAGGCGTCCCATAAAGTTATAGGGGAAGTGCGTAAGACCCATGAAACAGAGGGGCTGGAAGACTAACAGACAAGCTGACGATCACGAAACTACGTAAATATTAAGCAAACTCTGGCGAAACGCCCCCGACTTTCCCGAATATATCTCAAAAACAGTTAAGGAAATGCTGGAAGCCTAGGTTTGGAATAGCAATTCCATCGTGGCAGTTCAAACGCAGATTAGAAGGAAGTCCATCGTGTGATCCGCACGTAACGTGGCCTGGGGTTTTGTCATAGCGTTTTTTTCGGGGGTTAAAACAACAAACTTGATTGCTTTCAATGAGTTTG